ACGCCAATTCTAGCGTTGATGTGTAATTCCTCAGCTACTGCTTGGTAGCCTTCCTATATAAAGTTTGAAGACGCACAAAGAGAAACTATATTCTTAACACTTATTTACCTAATGTGTAAATAATTCACAACATCTAAGGTGGGGGGAGGGAGGCAGGCAGGCAGGCAGAGGGAAGTCTCTGGGCAGCTTACAGCTAAAACATTAAAAGAAAACAAGGTATATCAAGAAGATAAAAGAAGACAGCTGACCAGAGTCAAAACCCAAAGAACCAAATAGCAAAAACAAAACACACAAATAGGCTCAACCACCATCCTAATCCAGGACCTGGAAGAACAGCCATTTTGTGGAAAGGTGAAAGGATGGGAGATGACGAAGGGCAAACCATTAAAGGAGGTTAAGGAAAAACTTCTGCAGTGTGTTGAGCATGTAATATTGAATAGATAATTTACTGATGTCAAAGGCTTCCTATTTATCTGTTGCCAGTTTCAGTTATCTAATCTGCCCTATTCTACCTGGAGAGCTACGTCAAATACCCACTGCCAGCTATGCTGTATCTTCTACTTTTCTTCCATGCTGTAAAAATCAGCTTTAATTAATTAGTCAATTAATTAGCTTTTAAGACATCTTACCTTTACTGTTGTTTTTTTGTCAGTTTGCTGACTCACTTTTTCAAGTATTTCTATCAACCCTTGTTCTGATACCTACGGAGTCAGGAGAAGAACAGAAATAGTATTTGCTTGGTGGAATGGCATACACAGCTCTTGCTGAAAAATGCAGGGTTTTAAAATATTTACTTACAGTTTTCATTTTGAATTACTGGTACCTTTTTTAATTAAGGTACAAATAGCAATAATCAATTGTTTGAACTATACTTATGGCCTTGTCCTTCGCATACAATAGAATGGCAGCTAAGATGGGGAAACCTTCAAAGTATTATGAATAGCTAATTGTTGCTTTACTAGCTATATTAATTGTTCAAGTCACTAATCCCTTCATTCTCCAGCATGCACAGAGGGCTTGGGAGATAGGCTGCTTCTTCCCCCATTTATGCAAGTTCTGAAGAAGGTAGGAAGTTTGCTGTTTTTATATAGCTTAGCAACATCGGCAGCACAAATTCTTTTGGACTGTTTCTCAGAAGGCAAGCGGTTCTTCAAGTGTCCATCTACATCCTCCTTTATACAAAACAGCTTCTTGTATTCTGAATCCAGAGAGGAAGTTATCCACAGCGATAGCTAAAGGACCATTCTAATTGCAGCAAACATTTTATAAGTTTATGGAACATTTTTTGGCAGGTGGTTATACCAACTGAATTCCAAATAAGAAAAAAAAATCCATCGGGTTTTTATTTTCCTTTCAAATAGCCAGCCCGACGTTTTTGGGAGCAGCCAGTGCCCCTGAACGCCACAACTCCAAACGCTTTGCTAGAGAGCAAGATTCCAGGGAACCAAGACAAGGGCTTACCTTTCCACCTAATTGTCCAAATCTTGCCATCTGTATAAGATAATTCTCAACTGCCTTTGCCTTTTCTGGCTTTACAAGTGCTAAATTGCTCACTGCAAAAGGAAAACAGATATTAAAAGCCATTTATTTATTGTTAAAAATATAACTCGGCTTTCCTCCCAAGAGCTCAAGACTACAAGGGAATCTCCCTTCATTTTAACCCCACAGCCAAACTGGAGTTGGCTGGGTGGAGAAAGAGCAAGTGGCCCCAAAATCACCCAGTCTGTTTCCAAGATTGATCAATGACTTGAATTTGGGTCTCCCCAGCTCTAGTCCAATAATTTAAGCACCACACTGCCTCTCACAATTCTACACTCAAGAACACAGAGATTATTACAGGCACCTCAGACTTTTCACCTTAATCCTGAATTAAGAAAAGCAACATTTATATGTACTAGTGTTTAAATAAAACCAATTGTGAAAGCTGACCGACTGGGAAATGGTATAGAAGTTCAAGGAATGATTTATATTTTAACTAATCTTAGTACAGCTCTTTACAATGTTTGCTTTATATAGACAGCTTTTTCAAGTAATGAGATCAAGTAATTGTTGAGAATATTCAGATCTATAGGATACCACAATCAAGACAAAATGGAATTGAAATATATAGATACATATAACAATGTCTAAATATTGCTATAATTAAGCACACTAAATCTAGCATGCTGTAATGCCTTTGGATGAATGACAGAAAGATAACAGCAATTCAAAGCTGGTGGAGAAGTGAAGGAGGACTGCTGACCAGTGAAATTCTGAGTATGTATACAATGTCAGTGCCATTTAAGTATGGATAGTATTACAGCCTATGGCACTTTCCTCCCTGCAACGAAATAAGACTTCAATCTAGAGGTCAAAAGACAGCGTGGACACCAAGGCTTTTCTGTCTTTCTGTAAGGCTCTTGAAAATCTGGTTCTTCCCTGGGCATTGGGCCAGAATGTTGGATGAACCCACCTTGACTGAAAAATCTTGAAGGAGATACATGCTGGTT